CCCCAAATATGTCCTTCCCCCATCCCCAGCTCCACCTGCCTGTTTTTCTTTGGCTCGCTGCGAAAAGGCTCCTGCAGGGGACCTGGGAGGGGAAAGAAATATAAAAGGAGGTGATTTATGAGCTTAGCTGTGTCATCTTAATCAAAGGACCCCTCCTGTGTCTCCCCTTCCCAGCTCACTACAGATGAGGCCGGGAAAGAAGGGAGGAGGAGAGATAAATAAAAATGGCAAAGTCTCCTGCTGGGAACTCCCTGTGTGACCCGGGCATGGCCTTGCACCTCTGGGGCCTTGGATGGCCCGAGCATAGATGGAACCCGCAGGTCCTCAGGGAGGTGGAGTTCAAACCCCTCGCTTCACAGATGGAGCCATTGAGGGACCAAGAATTTGAGTAACTTGAAAAAGTAGCACAACTAGGCCAAACAGAGCCTGGATTTGAATCTGTGGCACCTGGACTGGAAAATCTCTGATTTCCCTCTGCTCTGACATTCTGTGGCCTCAGGTCCCTTCCAACTCAAATATTTCATATCCTAAATTCCCTTCCAGCTCTGATATTGTGTTCTAAATTCCCTTCCAACTCAAATATTCCATGTTCTAAATTCCTTTCTAACTCAGATATTCTGTCTTCTAAATTCCCTTCTAGCTCTGATATTCTGTGTTATAAATTTCCTTCCAGCTCAGATATTCTATGTTCTAAGGCTCCGCCCAGCTCTGATATTTTATGTTCATTGATATTCATTGTATATTCTAAAGTCCCTCCCAGCTCTGATATTCTGTGTTCTAAGTTCCTTCCCAGGTCTGACCTTCTACGTTCTACAATCCCTTCTGGCTCTGACATTCTTTAGGTTTGACTTTAGATGGTGGGACATTTGATGTGACTGGCAAAAACTTGTTACTCATGTCCCCTAGGCTAGGAGAGCTCCCCGTTTTCCCACAGCCTCAGCCTGGGTGCGGGTATTAGATCAGCCATCCTTTCCAACATCCTTTCAACCTCTTCTGGAGGTGATAATCAAAATTGTTAACTTACCTGCATCACAATCAGGCAGGGTCTCCTGACTTGTTAAGTAGCAGGTCAGAAATGACCTTCCCTTCAGACTTCATGTAATGATCATGATAGTGGTAATGTGCCTTCATTGGAAAAGGGAACTTTGAGGTGAAGAACTTTCTCTACAAACCAAGCTGATATTTCTTCACAATTTACAGTCTTAGAGAGCTGCCTAGAGCAGTGAAAGGTTAAGTGACTTACCCAGGGTCACACTGCTATTATGTGTCAGAGACACATTTAAGGTTAGGCTTGGGTCTTCATGGTTCTGAGTCTAGCTTTCCATCTACCACCCCACCACTGCTTCTTAACAATAATAATGATAATAATAATAGTAATAGCAACTGATGCCAGATACTGCACTAAGTGCTAGGGACAAAAAGAAAGGCAAGAAAAAAAATCAGTTCTCGCTCTCAAAAGGTTCACAGTCTAATGAGGGAGACAACGTGCAAACAACAATGCATTATTTCATAGATATACATACATATACTCACACACATATAAAGATATAGAGATATTAGGGACATCGGAAAAATTGGAACTAAGCACAGAGGGAAGGCACAGACATTGCGGAGGGTCAGAAAAGGCTTCTTGGAGAAGGTGAGACTTTAGCTGAGACCTGAAAGCAGCTAAGGGATGGAGAGGAGGAAGGAGAATGTTCTAGGTATGGGAGATAGCCAGTGAAGATGTTTGGAGCTGGAAGATGGCTTGTCCCATGCAGGGAACAGCAAGGAGGATCTGTAGACTATGGGCAGGGGAGAAACGTATGAGAAGACTAGAAAGAGGGGCAGCTAAGTGGCACAGTGGATAGAGTGCTGGTCCTGAAGTCAGGAGGACCTGAGTTCAAATCCAGCCTCAGACCAAACACTTGATGCTTACTTAGCTGTGTGACCCTGGGCAAGTCACTTAACCCCAAATTGCCTAGAAAAAAAAAAGAAAAAAAAAAGAAGACTGGAAAGGTAGAGAGGGGCCACACTGTGAAAGGCTTTAAAATCCAAATGGAGGATATGATCTTTGATCCTGGAGGTAATAGGGAACCACTGGAGTTCATTGAATGAGCAGGTTAGATGGTCAGACATCTGTATAAGGATGACCAGTTTGACAACCAAGTGGAGGATCAACTGGGGTGGGGAGAGACCTGAGGCAGGCAGACCCACCAGCCGCCATTGTAGTAGTCCAGGCATGAAGTAATGCGGGCCTGTACCAAAAGTGGTGGCAGTGTCAGGGGACCAAAGGGGGAATCAATGAAAAATGTGATGTTAGAATCAACGGGGTTTGGCAACCGATTGGATATGGAGGATGACAGAGTGAAGAGGCTAGTACGGCACCTGCCTTGTAAGGCTGAGTGACTGGGAGGATGATGGGACCCTTGGCACTGGGAGGGAAGTTACAGACACAAGAGCACCTGAGAGGGAAGATAACGAGTTCAGTTTTAGACATGTTGAATTTGAGATGTTTATGGACCATCTGGCTGGAGATGTCCGATAGATAGTTGGATATGCAAGACTGGAGGTCACTGGAAAGATTAGGGCTGGATAAGTAGATTTGAGGCTCATCAGCAGAGAGATGATAATTAAATCCATGGGAGCTGATGAGATCGCCAAGTGAGGTAGTTTAGAGGGGGAAGAGAAGAGGGCCCAAGACAGAGCCTTGGGGGACGTTATTTCATTTGCCCTGACAGCAACCCAGTGAAGTAGGTACTACAATGATATTATAGACATTTGGCAGATGAGGAAACAAACCAATTCCAATAGATTGGAACCTAAGCCGGAGTCTTTCTTCCTTCAAACCTAGTACACCGTCCATTTGTGTTGTTGAGTTGTTTCAGTCATGTCTGACTCTTCGTGACCCCATTTGGGGTTTTCTTGGCACAGGTACTGGAGTGGTTTGCCATTTCCTTCTTCAGCTCATTTTACAGATGAGGAAACTGAGGCAAACAGGGTGAAGTGACTTGTCCAGGGTCACACAACTAGCAAGTGTCTGAGGCCAGATTTCAAATCGTGAAGATGGGTCCTGCTGGTTCTAAGCCCAATGCTTCTGTACATCTATAATGACATTATCATGTGCTAATATTCATCATAGTTCTTGTCCTGTCCCTCTGCTTTATTGTGGGCAGCTTAGGTGGCACAATATGGAGAGCACTGAACTTGGAGTCAGGAAGACCTAAGTTCAAGTCTGGCTTCAGACGCTCCTTAGCTCTATGACCCTGGGCAAATAAGTTACTTGATCTCCCTTTGCCTCAGTTTCCTCATCTGTAAAGTGGAGATAATAGCCAGGATTTTTGTGAGGATCTAATGAGATAACATATGTAAAGCACTTTATTATTATTATTATTGTTATGTAAAGAAACCATATCTTATCTGAACTTTTTATCTCCCCTAGTTTCTGGCACAGTGCTCTGCACAGAGAAATGTTTCTTGAATTAATCAGACCTGGGGTTTGTTTGGAACAAGTCTGAGAGGGAATGTGGTGGACCAACTCAGTCTTTCCCAAGTCCGCCCAGAGTTCCTGCCTTTTATCTTCCGCTGTAGTCACTGTCAGCCTCTCCCTTTGGCCTCTTGGTTTGGAGATTGACTCCGTGAAGTTTTTATGCCCCTTCCTTCTGTGCCGTATCTCATGGAGGCTGTGACTTGAGGAAATAGGATGAGAAGTCATGTCTTCCATGCTGTGGAGAGCACTAGATGTTGCTGCCATCCCTTATGTGATGAACCAAGAGAATTCAAGCATCTGAACCTGGAAGGGGTTGTTACTGCGAGGGCAGAGGAAAAAAAAACAAGAGGTCAATTCAGAAGGTGACTGGAATGAGCAAGAGGACAGACTTCTGGAGGTTACAAGCTGTGCTCAGACCAGGAAACAAAGGAAGAATAGAAACTTCTCAGGGAGCCTAGAGAAAGACTCCTGGGTTGGACTTTCAGGGAAACTCTCAACAATCATCGGAAACAATGCATTTAAATAGTTCTTTAGTGGTTAGCATTCACATACCTTGTTTCATTTGATCCTAACAATACCTGAGGTCAGTTATGCAGAGATCGATATTACTCCTACAGAGAAGGGTTACACATACAGTGTTCCTTCCACGACACTGTAGCAGTTTATAAAGCAACACAATAGTAACAATACGTGAATGCATGAAGTGTCTGTGATTTCATCCCTGCGGGGTCCTAGATAGAATAAATAATACAGATCATACAACCAGTCTATGACTTAGGAGATAAGTAAGAGGGAGTTTACCTGAGGCACAAAGGTTTGTTTTTGGTTTGATTGTTGAATCATTTCAGTACTGTCTGACTCTTCATTTTGGGGTGTTTTCTTGGCAAGAATACTGGAGTGGTTTGCCATTTCCTTCTCTAGGTCATTTTACAGATGAGGAAAGTGAAGTAAACAGGGTTAAGTGACTTGCCCAGGATCATCCAACTAGTAAACATCTGAGACCAGATTTGAACTCAAGAAGATGATTCTTCCTGACTCCAGGCCCGGCACTCTATCCACTGTGCTGTCTAGCTGCCATGCAGAGGTTTGCTAAAAGCCAAAGATACGAGTCCCACTCTCATTGTACCAGCAGGCAAGAGACGGATGCCTGAAACCCTCTTGGTCCCTGACCTGGGATTAGGGCTTTACCTATCCTCCTCAGATAGCATCTCAGACTTTGGATCGCTTGCATTCCTGAAACCCAAGACCCCTACCATCTGCAATCCTCTCTCTTCTTCATCTCATCTATTTGGTGTAGTCATGTCACTGTAGGTTACATTTTTGCAATGATGCCCCAAGTCTTCACAAGATGATATGATTCATTCAGCCCCTGGCCTATGATATCAGCTCCTAGCCTAGAATGATGGGACCCTGGACTGCTGGAACTATTCCAGGTGCTGACAGCTTTTTATTAGTGCTAAGGGAGATTTTCATAAACAGTGTAATGACCTTTTATTGACTTCCTATTGTAATCGACTATTTTCTCTCCTAGGTCAAGGTTGGCCAGCAATACCAATAGACCAGGATTCCTTGGAGTCTTCAGAATCAGCTGTCTCATTGAAGTCCCAAGAGCTCTAAAGGTTGGTCCCCTGATTTTTACCTTATTTTACTTACTTTTTCCTTCCCTCAACATGACAGCCTTGTCTAGTGGGAAGAACATTGACCTAAGTGTGTAGCATAGTGGGTTCTGTTCCCAACTCTGATGGTCCCTGCTATGTTCTATGTTCTAAAATTCCTTCTAGCCCTGACATTCTATGTTCTACAGCCCCACTAAACTCTAACAGTCTATACAGTATGTTTTGAAATCTGTCCTAGCCTTGATATCCCTTAGCACTAATAAAAAGCTGTCAGCACCTGGAATAATTCCAGCGGTCCAGGACCCCATCATTCTAGGCTAGGAGCTGATATCGTAGGCCAGGGGCTGAATGAATCTCATCATTTTGTCCTATGTTCTAAAGTCTGTCCCTGCCCTAACTTCTTATGTTCTAAAGAGTTCCCCACCTCTGACAGTCTATATCCTAAGGCCCCACCCAGATCTAACAGTATATATTTCGTGCTCTGAAATCTGTCTCGACTATGAAATTTTATGTTCTATTTTCTGAAGTCTGTCCCTACCTTGACATGCTATGTTCGGTGTTCTAAGGCGCTCTCCAGCCCTGAAAATTCGATATTCTAGAGTCTGTCCCAACCTAGACATTCTACGTCCTGAGGGATTCCCCAGCTCTGACAAGCAATATTCTAAAGTCCCACCCAATTCCAACAGTCTAAATGTTTATGTTCTAAAGCTTGTCCCTACTCTGACATTCTATGATCTGTGGTCTACATGTTGGCTCTGATGGGCTATGTTCTAGCTGCCTTTTCCAGCTCAGTCTGCTCTGTCATAGTCTGACATTCTATGTTTTACATGCTAAGATCCTTTCCAGTTCTAACATTCTATGTTCTAAGGCCCCTTACAGCTCCAATATTCTGTCTTCTGTGTTCTCACACCCCTTCCAGTTTGGATATTCTGTTTCAAGGTCCCTTCCAACTCCAATATTATGTGTTACAAAGTTCCCTCATAGCCCTATATCCTAAATTCTAAAGACCCTCCTACCTCTGACATTCCATGTTTCCTTTCTAGCTCTGGCATTCTATCCTCTAAATTTTTTTAGGTTTTTAGGTAAAGGAGCTGGGGAGGAAGATATTCAGAATGAATGTGAGGTCAAAACTGTTGTTCAGTCACGTCTGACTCTTTGTGACCCCTTTTGGGGTTTTCTTGGCAAAGATACTGCAGTGGTTTGCCATTTTCTTCTCCAGCTCATTTTATAGATGAGGAAACTGAGGCAAACAGGGTTGAGTGACTTTCCCACAGCTAGTGTCTGAGGCTAGATTTGAACTCAGGTTTTCCTGACTCTAGGCCCCACCCTCTATCCACTGCACCATCTAACTGCCTAGGGTAAAAATAAGAGGCATCAAATGGAAACACAAATGAATCATTAAGTTCCCTGCCCACTCTGACATCCCATAATTCTGTCACAGATTCCCATAATCTTTTTAAACACTTCCCACCCTCTCCCCACCCCCCACCCTCCATAATAGAGCCTAAGCTTTGGAGAGTTAGCCCATGGCTGACCTGTTCTGGTCCTATGAAGTCAAAATATGGGGGATGAAACCTAGGAATGATTTGTTTTCCTGGCCCAGAAGATGGTGACCCTTCTCTTTAACAAGCCAAGCCCTTCCCCTCTCCTAAGCTCCTTTTATCCAAGACTTTCAGACTATTTACTCTAAGGTTTCCTTGCAATCTCCTCACAGCATAGCCTTTAAAGGATCAAGTGGTGAGGATAACCAGCAGATCCATTTTCAGGATGAAGAAACAACACCCTGAAGGTAAAGGTCCTATAAGAGAAAGAGGGCAGGACTCAGACATCCTTACTGCCACACTGCCCCTTGGGCCAGGTCATCCACCCATCCACCCCGCCTTCCTTGATATGTAAAAAGCACCTACATGAGATCTTTTATTGCCCCTGTCAGTGAGCCCAGATGCTAAAAAGGAAGTGGCCCCTCTTATAAATGTAATACATAATAAATACGTGCAAAGGATTTGTACAACTCGGTGTTTATTATGCCTTTCTTTTGTTAAATGTTTGGAAGTGGGAGAAGCAATTCCATGCATTGTATGTGGAGTGGTTTGGTCCAGGCTAGCTCCAAGCAAGCAATGAAGGCACCCCAGCCTGTCAGAAAGTTCTCACATGTTCCTTTGCTCAGCCAAGCCTGCTGGGGAACAGCTCCTCCACCACGTGTATGGGAGGTCTGGACCTCAGGGAGAATCCCCCACTGTTCAACATTTGGAGAATGTTTAATTCACTTAAAATCAGTAAGCATTTATCCCCCCGTTACTCTGTGCCTGGCCCTGAGACTGCAGAGAACAAAATAAGACAGTCCTTGGCCTCATGGGGCTTCCATTCTTCTCAAGGACCCGATGTGTGGCAATAAAGAAATAGGACATAAAATGCAAGGTAATTTTGAGAGGGAGGCACCAGATGCTAGGGGCCCAGGAAAGGAAGAGTTGGCACTGGAGCTGAGATCTGAAGGGAAGCTACTTGTGCCAAGATGCAGAGGTGAGGAGGCTGAGCATGGAGATGGCGAGTGGAATGTTCTATGTGAGGAAACAGCAAATAGAGCCATTTGGTTAGAGCACAGAATGCATGAGGCAGGGGTGGGGGAGCATGGGGATGGGGAAGAGAGGATGGAGCCAGGTTGTAAAGGGCATTAAACATCTGACAGAGATGTTTGTATTTGATCGTAGAGGCAAGAGGGAGATATTGAAAGCTCCTTGAGCTAGGCTTTAAAAGAGTATCAGTTTGGCAGCTACATGTAGAGCACAGGATTTCAGAGCTAGAAGAGACTTTAGAATGTCAGAACCAGATGCATTACAGATCATCTCATCCAACTCCTCCTTTTATATTTTTAATTTTTATTTTTTTAAATGTTTTTATTAATTTATTTTGATTTATCAATAATCACTTCCATATGCTTTTGAGTTTAAAATTTTTCTCTCCCTTCCTCCCCACCACCCTCCCCAAGACAGCACACAATCTGATATAGGTTATATATTTACATTCCTATTAAACATTTTCACATTAGTGATGTTATTAGTAAAAATTAAAACCAGTAGGAGGAACCATCAGAAAGAGGAAACAAAACTCAACAGAAGAGAAAAAAAAATAGCAATTCAACTTCCATAGTTCTTTCTTTGGCTGTAAATAGCATTTTCCATCACGAAGCCTCTGGAGATGTCTTAGATCCTTGTATTGCCAGGAAGGGTTAAGTTTATCAATATTAGTCATCACACAGCATGGCTGTTATTGTGTACAACGTTCTCTTGGTTCTGCTCACTTCACTCAGCATCAGACTATACAAGTCTTTCCAGGTTTTTGTGAAGTCAGCCAATTCATCATTTCTTACAGCACAATAGTATTCCATTACATTCATATACCACAACTTGTTCAGCCATTCCCCAATTCATGGGCATCCTCCGAATTTCCAATTCTTTGCCACCACAAAAAGAGCTACTATGAATATTTTTGTACATGTGGGTCCTTTTCCCTTTTGTATGATCTCTTTGCACCCCCTCCTTTTATACATGATGAAACTGAGGCTTGCCCAAGCTGGGGTTCAAACCCAAGTCCACTGCCTCCAAATTTAGTGTTCTTTCCCACATACCATTTTCCAGGAGAGAAACTCTAAAATGCTAACAGTTTGATTCTGGGGCTGAAGGAAAAGGATTCATGGGAGATAGGGCTTCATGCTATCCTAAGTGAACAGGGGCATGCCCAATGCTGCTGAGCATGACTTTAAATGCCAACTCTGGTGACTTTAGGCAAAAATTCCTAAAACTCAAACCCATCCTTGATCCATTCTGGCTGGGTTGAGCATGCTTTCCAAGTGCAAGGAGACTGACTGAAAGACCTTAGGATGCCCCTCCCCATTTTAAGTCTCTGGGCCTCCTTCAGGCTCTGCTTTTCTTGTATATCTGAGCCTCTCTACTTCCTTCCCTCCTCTCCCCACTGGACTCATATTCTTTTATTTTTAGAAGAGGAAAAAACAAAAGCTGCCAGGGTTTATTTAAAGAGGGAGCATTAAATGGCCTTTAATTCTCTGGCAATAGCTCCAAGGGTCCAGGGTTACTTAAAACTGAGGGAAGGGACGGGAAAGGAGGGAACTGGTAATTCCCACCAAGGAGGACAAAGCTCTCGGTTTCTTATTCTAAACTGAGCTAAAACCCAACACACACACACACACACACACACACACACACACACACACACAGAGAGCTTTTTATAAAACAAAACCTCTCTCTTTAGAGATAAATTAATAAATGAGAAAGCTCCTCTTGCTAGATACAAGCCAGATGCCAACGGGTCCGCACCAGAGCTACCCCATTTTCACCTAATCAGCTATGGAGTGAGGGTGGGGTGACCCTTACAGGAAAGGCTTGGTGGTCTAGCAAAAATAATTTTGGATCTCCCATCTAATACTTTCAGATATCCCTCCCTCCCCCAGCCCCTCCAACCCTGGCTACTCTGTAGTCCTAGGTTACTAGGTTCAAGCCAAGGGAAGGTTTATCCAGGAGAAACCACAGTTTTCCCTTTTGGAGAGCCAGAGTTCTTCCTTCCCTCTCACCCACTTCACCCCCACTAAACAATGACTACGTCTCCTAAAAGAATATAAGCTCCATGAGGGCAGGGAGTGTTAGGAGATTCTTGTCTTTGTATGTCCAATGCCAAGCACAGTACCTTGCATCCAGCTGCTTATTAAATACTTACTAATTGATTAATTGATCTCCCTATCAGAAACACTATATGCCTCCCCAGAAAGACACAGCACATGTCCATAGCCTGCAAATAAAGCTCTGGCTCTCTTCAGTGGCTTAGACAAAGCAGCATGGGACCTTCAGGGACACCTTTCCTAAGTCTGGTGGTTGGCATTTAAAACTCTCCTCATTTCTCAATTCCAAATTTAATTACAAAGAACCTTGATCACAACAGATATTTATCTGTGTCCATAGCTTATATCTGTCATAGAAGGTAAGCTCCATGAAGGCAGGAACTATACCTTATTCATCCTTGTACTTCCTTCCTGAACTTTGTGAAGTAGATTGCACACAGTAGTCCCATATTGTACATAATATGCTTTAAATGGTGGATAACTCAATTAATCAATAAGCATTTAGTAAACACCTATTATGTGCCACATATTATACTGGGTTCTAGAAACACAAACATTAAAGGGAAACAGACCCTGCCCTTAAGGAACTTATATCCTATAAGGAAAGACAATATGTATACATATAAGAACAGAGAAAATATGTGCAAAGTAAATGGAAGGTAAATTGGGGAGGAGACATTGGCAGTTGTGGGAGGAAGGGAAGAAGGAAGGGGATCAGGAAAGGCGTCTTGGAGTAAGTGGCATTGATATTGTACTTTGAAGGAAACTAGGCATTCTAAGGGGCAGAGATGAGGAGTGAGTGAATTCCAGACATGGCGGACTGCCTGTGCATAGACTTAGAGAAGGGAGATGGAATTCTGTGTGTGCAAGGAGGCCATTTTGGCAGGACCGACATGTCTGAAAGGGAGTGATATGCCATAACCCTGAAATGGCAGGCCAGAGTCAGGTTGAGGAGAGTTTTAAATGCCAATCACAGATGTATGTATTTGAGCCTGGAGGCTATAGCCCAAGTCACTGGAACTGCTTGAACTGGGGAAGAACATGGTCAGATTTCTGTTTTAGGAATATCACTTTGGCAGGTGTGTGAAGGATGGATTGGAGAAGGGAGAGACTGGATACAGGGAGAACAACGGTTGTTGTTTAGTCATTTTCAGTCAAGTCTAACTCTTCATGACCCCTTTTGGGGTGTCCTTGGCAAAGATACTGGAGTGGGTTGCCATTGCCTTCTCCAGCTCATTTTACATATGAGGAAACTGAGGCAAACAGGGTTAAGTGACTTACTCAGGGTCACACAGCTAATAAATGTCTGAGGCCAGATTTAAATTCAGGAAGATGAGTCTTCCTGACTCCAGGGCAGTTGTTCTAGCCAATGAACTCCTTAGCTGCCCCAGGGAAAATGATTAGGAAACAATTCAAACAGTCATAAGAAGTGATAAACACTTGAACTAGGGTGGATGGATGGATGGATGGATGGATGGATGGATGGATGGATGGATGG